CAGTTTCCCATTAGAAATAAAAAAAAAACATTTTTGGAAGGTGAGCGCAGCCCTCACGTTGTTTCAGGCGCTCTGAACTGGGGAAGAGCCCTGCACAGGCAGCGCTGATGCTATCTGAGGGCCAACAGGGCAGTGTACAGGACAGGAGGAGTTGCAGAGCTGAGTGCTGTGTTGAGTGGATGCAGGTCAGCCCTGCCCCTTGGCCGCAAGGCTGGGCACCATGTTCTGGTGCTTTATGTTTCTTCTGCTTTATGACATAGATGGACTCTCTGAGACAGCCTACAAGGTAAGTTTATTAGAGCTAGTGGCAAAACTAGGGGGTTTGGGAATGTGCCAGCCCAGTTCTGGACTTAGCCACTGAGGGAAACAAGAGACATAATACGGTTGTGATTCTACTGGAGAGGAAACCTTAAAGTTGGAGAATTCCTTTCTGCTCAAGACAGATGTTCCTCTCTCTGACTGCTGTAATAGGAAGCATTTCAGCTCCATGCAAAAGGAGCAGTGCAGGGAGAAAGCGGGCCAGGCAGGAGGTAGGGCTGAATCTGAGGCTAGCCAGTCTCCCTACCATCACCATGCTCACTTTAGAAAAGGGACAAATGAAGCTTTTAGGGCAGAAGCATGTGTGGACTGGACCTTCTGGCATGGGCCTAAACACTTCTGCAATGAGACTTTGCTGTGGCCTCCAGTACATTCACATTTGAGAATCCTCCTGGGCACAGGAGGGACCTCCTGGGACAGGAGGGAAGTCCCTTCCTCTTGCCCAGAGCTCTTCCATTCAGTGGCAGTGAAACCACCCAGCATCCAAGGTTCTCCAGGAGTCTTCCAGAGGAGAAGAGAATGGAGTCCATGACCCTCTGGAGTGCTTTGAACCTCCTTGCCTAACTGCTAGCTCTTCCTGTGTATCTCTGATGGCAGGCACTGGCAGAAATGCTGAAGGTCAATAACACCTTGAAGAGCCTGAACGTGGAGTCAAACTTCATTTCTGGATCAGGGATATTGGCTGTTGTTGAAGCACTCCAGTATAACACATCACTCATAGAGCTTCGAATCGACAACCAGGTAAAGCATGCACGAGTAGGAACTCTGATCAAGTAAAGATGTCCTGACTGTGGGAAATCAAGTGACTGGTCAAAGTGGGTGGTGATTGCCTGATGCTGCTATCACTTTGCTTTGGAGAGGTTTCAGCCCCTTGTCTTACTGCAGCTCCTGGCAGCTTTGCACTGCTGTGGTAGTGCAAAAAGCTTTCCGTGTTCCCAGTGCTGCCCCGGGGCTGCAGCAATGCACTTGTCCAATATCACACCGTGCTCTGAGCTCTGGGTCAGGGGGCTTAAGTAATTTTAAGTCTTTAGTAAAACTGAAAATTTTATTATGAAGCAGGGAAATAGAAGGTACATGGCAGGAGAGGGCCGGAGCGTGTAGTGGTAGAGATGCCATGGCAGGTTAGGTTCCCTGGAAACCTGGAGGTAGAACTGAAGCAGCTAAGCTATCAATCAGGAGCCCTGGCACGGCGGACTATGAGGTCAAGATGAAAGGCCCTCCAGACTGCTCTGCAGTTGCCAGGCCCTCCAAGGTAAAGATTTTGAGCAACAGAGCTCGTGGGTGATGACTTCTGGAATAGTCAGAGCCACTTAGTTTATCAGGATCAGGCCTGCAGTTTATTTCATTGGCTAGAAATGCTGAATAAACCAATAGATCCAAAGACAGAGAGAGGAAGGGAAGATGGCAGATTTGATGGCTCAGTCTGAATCACCCTTTTACCTGACCGACTTGGCAGGGTCTGCACGCCAGGCTGCATCTCTAAGAAAGGAGGATAAAGACATGGGCAAGTACTAGTCACCTACAACAGTAAAACATTTGAGCTTCAAAAGGTTCAAGTGCCACAGGTTCCTGGGCATTGCATAGTAAGGGAGAAGCACAAGCTTCTGGTCCATCTCCAGGACAGTCAGTGGCAGCACAGGGAGTCTTCTGAGGGCTACTGTGAAGAGGCAGTCACCGAGTTAAAAAGCAGGACTGGGAACCACATCTGCCCTCACTTGCTTTTCTGTTTTCAAAAGAGCCAGCCTCTGGGCAACAAAGTAGAAATGGAAATCGCAAATATGCTGGAAAAAAACACCTCCCTGCTGAAGTTCGGTTACCATTTCACTCAGCAAGGCCCCCGGCTGCGTGCATCTAATGCCATGATGAACAACAATGACCTAGGTGAGTTGGGCTGGCTGCTAGCCGGTGAGCACTGAGACATCTCTCCTTTTGCATGCGCCTGCCTGTGGGTTCTCCTGGTGGGCTACCTGGGAGAAGGGCAGAACTGCTCATGTGAAGGCTCCCGTGGATGCGCTTGAATCAGACATCACCTCTTGAAGGGCCTGGTGATTCCTTGCAGCCTTCACTGACTGCTTCCTGATGCAGCAGGACCAGTGGCAGCTGCTGTCACCAAGGCAATGAACTGTGCTCCATTCTTGGAGAAAGTGTGCAGCTAGACCTGCTGAATACACAGTGTTTTTGGCAGTAGCAGTGGGTCTTGTGTGGAGGAAGCGAGAGCTGTTAATGATGTGCTTTGGTACAGTAAGTGATATGGTATATGGCAGATGGGTTGTGAACTGACAGCGCTTTTGATTCTTGCCAGCTGTTTGTCTGTCTCTAGTTTCATTTCCACTTTAACAAGGAGATGAAAAATAGTAGATTTGAACTTTGAAGGCAGTGGGGCCCATTCCTCTACTTGGCCCATTCCCTTCAGTAAATCAGACTTAAAGTATTTCTGGAGAGAGGTGTGAAGCCATGTGGTTCTGAGTTATATTAATATCCCCAATGAAGTCATCAGAACTGCTTGTGAAGCAAAATGTGGGCAAGTTTGAAAACTGCTGTTTTAGCTAATGCTAGCACTTGTCTACAGGCTGACCTAGACCACTGGAAATCAGTCCAGCAGATCAATAGTTGAATGAAGTTAAAATAGCAGCTTAGCTGTGTTGCATTGCCTCACTGTATAGATGGGGTGACACAGACGTGACACGGCCAAACTCTTCTCAAAGTGGCAGACAAAGCAACAGGGAGGAATGGCCACAAGTTGCAGACCCGAACATCCAGTTGGCACATTAGAAAAAAAGTCCTTCTCCAGGAAGCTGGAGAAGCCCTGGGACATGGCACCGGGGAGGGTGGGCTTTCTGTAGCGCAAGGGTTTCCAAGCTCAGACAGACAAAGCCAGGGCTGCCCTGAGCTATGGCTGGGGAGAGCCCTGCTGTGAGTGGGAGGTGGGGCTCGGAGCACCAGAG